ATAGAAATAATCAATTGTACCATTTATTTAAAAATCTGTTGTTTTCCCACTAATTTACAGTGCTACAACTATCATATATTCAGTAATTATTCAAGCAAGTGTCAAATCTCTATTAGATTGCACCAGTCTATCTATATATTCCTAGGGCACTGCCATCTATCTTAATTATTTTAGCATTTAATAAGTCTTGATATCCAGTAGGGCAAGTCTTCCTGCCCTTGTTCTACTTTTAAAATTGTTTGGACTATTGTTGGCCATTTGTTTTTCCATATAAATCTTAGGACAAGATTGTCAAATATTAACAAAAGCTGTTGGGATTTTGAATTTTATATTAACTTACAGAGCACTAACATCTTTAAAATATTGAATCTTGCCATCCATAGACATAATATAACTATTTACTTAAGTCTACTTTTTTTAGATTTTATTTATTTTAAAGAGAGAGAGAGAATGAGCAGAGGGAGGGGCAGACAGAGAGGGACAGAGAGAGAATCCTCAAGCAGACTCCCCGCTGAGTGTAGAGTCCCACGCAGGGCTCAATCCCAGGACCCTGGCATCATGACCTGAGCTGAAACCAAGAGTCAGCCACTTAACCAACTGAGCCACCCAGGCATCCCTAATAAAATTTAATAAATTTTTATAATTTTTTCTTAAAGTGGCTTGAATATTTGTTAACTTTATTCCCAGACACCTTAAAATTTTTTGTTACTTTTTGAAAAGGTATTGTTACTTAAATTATGTTTTCTAACTTTGATATTTTCTACCTTTGTGGCCAGTATGTAACGATCTTAGAAGTAGGTGCTGTGATGTACCACCCAGATGTCCCTCTAAGTCAGAAGGGCTTATTTGCCGAGCAGTGGGATATGCTACTGACAAACAATCTCAAGAGGTTGGCCCTCTTTAGGAGTGTCTACCTTACCTCACATCCCTTTCCTAGGGAACCTGTTAATCAGCAAAGACTGATTAACAGAGAATAAAAACTCATCTTCCTCACATCAGCTTGGGACAACTCGGAAGGGCCATCCCAGTTCTAGAGCTTCCCTACCGAGGTCTTCACTGAGACCACATCCCACCCCATCTCCTCCTCTCTTCAGTCCTGCTTCTTTCCTGGCCTGTCTATAGGTATCAACCTCAAAAGCATGCTTTCTGCATATTCATCTCTACCTCAGAGTCTGCTTCCTGGAGAACGGAACCTGAAACAGTCCATGAAAGCAGATGCTAAGATGAGATTTTGCAGTTGGGTCATCTTCAGCCTGACTGGTGATGAGGACCCATCACTGGCACAAGGTAGAGATGAAATTGTTAAAACTTATCTGTGGTAAACTGAGAGGGTATTCTGGTAAAAGAGGGTGCACAGGAGAATGCGACTGATCAGGCATTTGAAAAACAGGGGGCTGGGGGCCGCCTAGGTGGTGCAGTCAGTTAAGCATCCAACTCTTGGTTTTGGCTCAGGTCGTGATCTCAGAGCTGCAAGATCGAGCCCTGCATCAGGTTCTGTGCTCAGGGTGGAGTCTGCTTGAGGTTCTCTCTCCCTCTGCCTCTGTCCCTCCTGCTCGTACATTCTCTCACTCTCTTTCTCTCTAAAATAAATAAACAAATCTTTAAAAGAAAAACATGGGGCAAATAATAACTACAGGGACAGTGGAACTGGGTGACTATAGCTAAGATTTATTAATCATTTGAAAAATATATAGGAAGACTAATAGAAATTAATTATTAATTAAAAACTAAATGTAATAGTCCAAGGATCTTGTGAAGTGACTCTCGTATCTTGCAGCCTAAGGAAAAAGTAAAGAAGGACTTAACCTTAAGAGGAGCAGAATTCCAAAGAAGATGAAGCTCTCAGTTCCTACTGGTTGGTCAGCTATGTAAGTTCAGAGCCCTGGCAGGGAGAGAATGCATGAGGATACCTGGGGTGATGCACCTGAAACTCTTAAATTTCTTACATCCCCCAGAACCATCAGAGCTTACACAAGTGGCCCACCCCTCACTCCTAACACCTATTCTTTCCCTCTTACTTGCATCTACAGAGATGCAGAGAAGAAGGGTCTCAGAAAGAAGTCTTTTCTTCTCAGAGAAGAAGCCTCTCTCCTGCAGGACAACACGCCTCCCTCTTGGGATCAGCCTCCGCCACCCCTCCTGGTCATTGGGACAATAATGAAGGTTAACTCAACCTGGATGGGCTGAGCCTGATAAAAAAGGAAGGAGAGATTGCCAAAAGGGAGGTGCAGGACCCAGAAAACCTGTCCCAACAAGGGCCAGGGGACTACACACTAGACTGGATTCTGAGGATGCTGGTTCAGTGGAGGCAGAATATAAAGTGGAAGAAGGGAGAGTTTATTAATTTAGGGGCACTGTGGCAGGACACGGAATTTAACATGGGTCCTCATAGATGTTGAGAGATTATGCAAACACCCTCCTAGGAAGGCTCCCAGATGCATGAAAAAGCTATGGCCCAGGGCTTTGCAAACTACAATCCCAGTGCCTTATTTTTGTACAGCCTGAAAGCTAAGAATGTTTTTTCTGTTTTTAAAGCACTATAAAAAATAAACAAAGATAGGCAAGCAAGGATGTTTGTGGCTCACAAACCCTAAAATATTTACTCTCTGGCCCTTTATAGAAAACGTTTATTTGACTCTAGCCCACACGAAGTGAATGCAGAAATGCCTGAATTACCAAGGCAGAAAGTCAAGGAAATAGTAAAAAGACCTAGATAAGTAGGCATAGAAGAGTGGACTTACCACGTAAGACTGAAAAATCCACAGGATGAAAATTCTCCATACGAGGGCCCAAAGCAATAAAAAATGCACTGGTGAGAAGACCACTAGCCTCCTGAAGTTCAGTGGTAGCTCCCCTCTGCAGGCCAGATGACAGTAGCAGAGGCCATTACAGAACTGGCCTCACTGATAGCAGTGGGGATACTGGACTCCGAAATTATAGAGGCCAGATGGCAGCACTTAACAGTTAGAAGCCAAGGAGATGGAATTATCATAATGAATAGCAGGTTCTGAAATGGTGGGGGGGTGTTAATGCTAATTATCAGGAGAAGGTAAGGTTGCTATTACATAATGTCAGCAGGGAAGACTATATTTGGCATTTAAGTGATGTGCCTCTTGGTAATATCTTGCCCAATTGTGATGGTAATTGGACAGTTGCAGCAACCCTGGCCTAAAAAAAGGACACATGGCCAGAGTATCAGACCTGTCAGAAATGAGGATCTGCGTCACCCAGCAGGTTTGCCACTGACACTAGCAGAGATGCTATGTAAGAGGAGAGGACGTCTAGAATGCATAGGAAAGCCGTAATCAATGAGTATCAGTGGTGGCCCCAAGACCAGCTGCTCCAATGGAAGCCACACTCTGTCCTATTCATCTTCTTCCTGTAAGTTTCCCCCCTCCCCAAGGTAAAGACTCCCATTGAGATCCTGAAGGAATGGCTCCCAAAACTTAAATAAATAAGGTAGATCCCCGTGCCTCCCGAGTCCCCCTTTAGGACTAAAGAACTTATCCCCTTCAGTGCAGGAAGTAATGCTAGCAGTTAGACCTCATCCACAAGCCCTCTTAAAGAAGAGTCTTGGCCAAAAGAGCTGCCAAACCCAGAGCCACATCACTTCCCAGGGCATTGTACACCGGGCAACTGGTCAACTTGGAAATATAAAGCCCTGGCCTCTCCACCCTAACCTGGAATAATTCTAAAGGGAGTCAGCAGCTTCAGATCTTCCCAGGAGGTTGTCTGGGGCCTTCTTTAGGACTGCATCACAGTTCAACTTCTCTCTTTGTACAATCCTGCTTCTCACCCATCCCTTCCACAGGTGTGGATATTAAGAACACAATCCAATAAACTCCGTGCTGACTGCCAGGTCAGAGTCAGCTTCCCTGGAGCCCAACCTACAAGAATCTTCTCTCCAAAAACTTTATTATTTGAATTATTTGACAGTTTCTCTTAGATATATACATTGTCTAAACACACACACACACACACACACAAGAAAAAGTGTTTTCTTTTTTTCCAATGCTTATATCTCTTCATTTCTCTTTCTTGTCTAACATCACTGACTAGAACCTGTAGTACATTAATAAACAGATGCTGTGATGACAGGCATTCTTGTCTTAGTCCTCTTTGAATAGAATACCAAAGAGGATATTTGCTCTAAAATGTTGGTAGATCATCTTTTGTCAAATATTCCCCACCTTTCCATTTTACTAAGAATTTATCATGAAAATATATTGAATTTTTTAAGTGTTTTTCCTGCTTCGATTTAAATGATTGTGTATTTCCTCTTCAGTCAATATGCTAAATTACATTACAAACGGTTCTCTTGTTAAATCATCTTTACGTTACTTAAGAAGCCCTACTGGGTTTACACACACACACATACATGTATGCACATGCACACAAGTACACATATATAAAACTCATAAAGATATAGCTGGATTCTGACTTGCTTGTATTTTATTTATGATTTTTGACCCTATGTTTATTTGTGAATATTTGTCTGCAAATTTTTTTCATATTGACTTTTTCTGTTTTTAATATCAAGTTTATCTGTTTTTCTATCAAAGTTATACCAGTCTCATAAAATGAGTTGGAGAGCACTCTTTTTATTATCTGAAACATTTGTTTAAGACTGAATGTTTGCTAGAACTTGCCTGTAAATTAAGAGTTTGAAATGAGCGTGTGTGTATACATGCACATGCATATGTGTAGATTTTTACAAAATACTGAATTTTTTAAATGATTATAACTAGTAATCTGTTTCTTCTTGAGTCAGTTTTGGTAAACTTAACATTTGGTAAACTAAACATTTTTCTGTACTTGCTGCAACTGGATATACAAACTCACTAGTGGGATGAAACAGACAAACACACAGTTTCTGTTTAAGTTTGTCGGCATTTGGATAAGCATAGTATCCTCTTTATTTTTTAATATCTACTGTATCTTACCAATGTTTCTTTATTCATTCCTAAAAAGATTTTGTATTTTCTCTCTTTCCTGCCCAGGTTATGAACAAATTGAGAAATCAAAGAAGTAAGTACCTTTGTTAGTTATAATGCCTGGGCTGGAGATTGTAGCTTAATATGAGAGCCAGAATTAGACTGATTTGCTGACTCAGGAAGCAGAATACCCCCAAAAGGGCTGATTGGTTGAGATCTATGGCATGGAGGAGCATGAAGGAGCAGAGGAAAACTTACCCTGACTCCAGACAGGTTTGCTCTGAAAGAAGAGCAGAGCTGATATGAGTAAGCTCAGTATTCCTCTCAAATTTACTGGTTAGGTAAACCATTCTACCCTCCTAGGAGCAGAATGCATAAAGAAGCAAAGTCAGTTTTCAAATTTTGTTGAAACTTCCTAATTTTTAGCTTTTTATTTTATTACTTTATACTCCCAACCTCATATTTTCCTTTCTTTTAATTCTTTTGAGTTACTCTGTTCTTTTACTAGATTCTTAATTAAGCCCTGGCTTTCTTCACTTTTTTTTTTAAAGATTTATTATTTATTTATTTATTTTAGAGAGAGAGAGAGCGCGGGGGGGGGGGAGGGAAAGAGGGAGAGAGTTTCAAGCATACTCCCTGCTGAGCAGAAAGCCCAACATGTGGCTCCATCCCATGACCCTGAAATCACAACCTGAGGCGAAACCAAGAATCAGACACTTAAAAGACTATGCCACCCAGGGGCCCCGTGGTTTTCTTCACTTCTAATGAAAGCAGTTAAGGCTGGGGCGCCTGGGTGGCTCAGTCGTTAAGCGTCTGCCTTCGGCTCAGGTCATGATCCCAGGGTCCTGGGATCAAGTCCCACATCGGGCTCCCTGCTCAGCGGGAAGCCTGCTTCTCCCTCTCCCACTCCCCCTGCTTGTGTTCCCTCTCTCACTGTCTCTCTCTCTCTCTGTCAAATAAATAAATAAAATCTTTAAAAAAAAAAAAAAAGAAAGCAGTTAAGGCTGTAAATTACACACTAAATAGCATTTTAGCTTTATCACACTACTTTTATTTATGACATTTTCATAACTTTAATTATAAATATATTTCCATTGTTATTCATTATTTGACCCATGATTTACTTAGAAATAGTTACTTTTAATTTCCAGAAATATTATGTTTTATATTATGTTTTAAAAAGAATTTTTACTTACTGTTTTCTCACATTTAACCCCATTGTAGTTAGAGAACTTAGTGTGTATATGCTTTTTTTGGTATTTACTATTTTTACTAAGCCTTTCTATGTAATGATACACTAGTTGTTTTCTTTTTTAAATGGCCCATGAGTCCTTGAAAGGAATTTGAATCTTTCTGGCATACTGTTTCTTTTATCCTTATTTAAGACTCATCTTTATCTCTATCAGTTAAATACCACTTTGTATATTATTTTAGCTATATCAGCTTTCCCTTGGTTAAAATTTGTCTGATATATCTGTTGCCATGCTTTTTTTTTTTTTTAAGATTTTATTTATTTATCTGACAGAGAGAGACACAGCGAGAGAGGGAACACAAGCAGGGGGGAGAGGGAGAGGGAGAAGCAGGCTTCCCGCCGAGCAGGGAGCCCAATGCAGGGCTCGATCCCAGGACTCTGGGATCATGACCTGAGCCAAAGGCATACGCTTAACGACTGAGCCACCCAGGCGCCCCCATGCTTTTTTATCTTTAACTCTGGGGGTCTTTATGGTTTAGATATGTCTTGGTTAAAATTTGTCTGTTATATCGGTTGCCACACTTTTTTATCTTTAACTCTGGGGGTCTTTATGTTTTAGCTATGTCTCTGGTTTTTGTTTTGTTTTTATTTTCAATCCAGCATGATAATCTTGATTTTTTAAACAGGAGAGTTTAGTCCATTTATATTTGTTTTAATTACTGATGTATTTGAGTTTATTACCACCACTTATGTTGTGTTTCCTATTTACCCTAAGGTATATTTATCTCTTATTTTGGCTTTTACTGGACTTACATGAATTTTCTTTATTCCTTGCCATTCTCTCCTGGTTTAGAAGTTATATATTTAATTTCTGTTTTTTTAGTGGTTACCCTTAAAGTTTCAATATGAATGCTTTTTTTAATGAAGTCTAAATTTAATCAATAGCTCTATCTTCCTCCAAAACAAGTATTTATAACAATTTAAATCTAATCAGTGTCTTTCTGTCTTATATATTAATTTTGTACAGCTTTTAATTTTCCTTGTCTTTTTACCTCTAAATCATGCCATTGCTGACATTGTTATTTTATAGTAAATACTAATTAAAATTTGTCCCATGTGTTCATCATTCCTTCTTGCAACTCAGTCCTGATTTCTGGATTTAATATGTCAATGAAAAATTCTATGGTAAGCCAAATTATCATTCATGGGTGAGGGTGTAATACAAATTTTATCTTGGCACTTTGAAAATATTATTTTTCTTTTTGCTATTGAATAGTCTGTTGTAGTTCTTATAAATAATATACTGTTTCTTCTTTATTGTTCCTAAGATTTCTTCTTTGTCTTATGAGTTCTGAGATTTCATTTCAGTAAGTCTAGTGTCTTTTGTATTTAATCTGCTTGAGATTTATTTTGCTTCCCAAATATGAGGATTTAAGTTTACTTTTAACTCTGGAAAACTCTTAATCATTATCTCTTCAAGTACTCCCTTTATTTTTTCTACGATTAACTATGATTAACATATAGAAACCTTTCATTCTATTTCTACATGTATTTTCAACTGTCTTATACATTTCCTGTCAATTTATCTCTCAATGCTAGTTTCTGGATAATTTTATGAGATCTACTTTCCAATTTACTAGTTCTCACTACAGTTGCATTCAGTAACATTCCCTTTCAGAAGTTTTTAGTAAGTTCTTTCAAAATCTGCTTTCCTTTTTTTACAATTACTTTTTATAACCACTTGTTATTTTCTTGTATTTTAAATTCCCTACTTTATGTCTTTAATCATTTAAAACATCATTGTCATAGTTTCTACTCAAGGCTCTACTATTTTAAATTATTGGAAACTGTGTAATTCTAATGTGCTTTTTTATGTCTACTAATGCACACACATGGTAGTTTGCTTTCTTGTGTATTTTGCAACTATGTATCAGGAGCTCATGTTCAGCAGGTATTTATATGTGGGAATCCTGAGAGATCCAGATTAAGGGGTCATCCTACCGTATCAGTTTTATGTTTGTTTCTGCCAGGAACCTCAGAAAATAGCTCTTTTTATAAAAATTTCTTAGCTTGGGGTTTTCCAAATAATGTAGGCAAAATAAAATTCAAGGTCAAACAGGCACAGGTCCATGGGAGACTTTTTTTTTCTTCTCTTTCAAGCAGCATCTTGCTAATGCTCAAGACACTTTAGAAAAAAGTGTATTATAAGAACCTTGTTCCATTTTTACCCATGGTGGATAAAATGTCCTCTTTCTTACCCCTTTCTCAATCCTCGCATGCACCCAAAATGATTCCCTAAGTAGTGTTTCTCTCTCTCTCCCTCTCTCTCTCAACCCTCAGAATACTTTCCTCACAAAACAACTAATTGACTAAAGCAGAGTTTCCAAAAAGAGCGGGCCCACAGCCCACTTTACAAGCAAAAGCTTTATCTGCCTCAAGGTAAACGTCTACTAGCATGTTTAATGAAGAAAGTCAACAGGAAAAGAAAAAACAGAAAGGGAAAATAGAGGCAAGGAGAGAATTTATATTTGTTGGCCACCGACATTACAATAACCCTCAAAACCACTTTTTGTGGCAGATGTTCCTTCTCAGTTTGCAGACAAGGGCCAAGGCTATATAGCCAGAAGAGGGGGCTAACCCATATCTCCCTGACTCCTTTCCTCAGAAGGAAAGTCCATGAGTCAGAAAAGTGGAGCCCATAGTAAACATCAGAAATAGAGCCTCAAGTAAAGGAAAGCTCAAAGCAGGAAAGAGTCCTGTTCCTAAGAGTATCATGAATGGGGCTCTTTCTGTAAACTCTGCTCTAGCCTATTAGTTCCCTCTGGACATACTGCTCCATTTCAGATTTTCATTTCTTAATCCTCTCTTCCCTTCCCCAAAGTTTCCAATAGCAATTATGCTGATTCTCTAGGCCAGAGACTAAGACCACAAATGGGAAGGGAGGAACAATTGGAGGAAAGGCTTTTCCAAACTTCCCAATATCAAAATATCTGTGGCATTCCCCCCTTGGAGACAACGCCACCTCCCTGAAGCCCAGATATACCTGTGAAATAAAGTGGCAAAGTAATGTGATTTTGGAATTCAGGCCTTCTGATGTTCCAGGACATTTAAAAAATCATATAGTCATCAAAAAGCTTCACTCCCAGCTGTGTGGAAAGTGACTCTGCAGCTCTCACTTAATTTTGGTTGCATTACCTCATTTTATACATCATTCATGACAAGCAAGAAACCACGGGGCTCCCTTGGCTAAATCCTCTTGTCCTTGACACAACTCTAATTCCTCTGGCCATTTACTTCATAAATGTGGTAAATCCTGCAGCTAAAAGAGGTTGCGCAGAAGTTTTGGTCAGTTGGCTCTTCCCTCGTTGTCACAACAAGCAAAAGAGGCCAAGGCAATTAGCAGCCCTGACCTACTACCATTTTCTTGTCCTTCCCATGTGATCCACATTGCCCATTACTCTGGCAACCAGGATGGAAAGGGTGAGAAAGAGGAGATTTTCAAAAATTGTCTTTGGGTGAGATATTTATGTCTTCCCACCTGGCATTTTTCCTTGAACTCAAAGGGAGCACCAAGATAGCCAGCAGCGTGACTCCTCTACCCCACGTAAATGAATACATTTACACCTTCCTCAGCTGTTCGTGTAGAGAAGGAGCTAGGAGTCTCCATGTGCTTCAAGGGCCCATCCAGGTCTCCTATATGTCAAGACAGAAACTCAGGAGCACATGGCCTCAGGCCCAAAAGTGATGTGGCACTGAGCCATGCCCGAGGAGAGCAGTTCTGTGATGATTCTCTTATTTGTAGACACAGCTCTTCCCCAGTCTTCATTACTGGGGCTTCATAATCCTCCTAGGAGGAGATCACATGGAAGCAAAAATTCATTCTAGACCTGCTAAAGAAGTGG